GCAGCTTTTATTTATTTTTAAAGCCAAACTGCTGAAGCTGAAAGGTGAAGACTTGCTCTCCATTCTTGCTTAGAAAGCGAGTAGATCCCAGGGGCTGATAGTATCAATCACCATTCAGTGCCCTTGCAGGTGGTGGCAGGACCTTCTCCTGTTCCTTGGGATCCAGGGCTCAGCTCAGTTGCCTGCTCACCTCCCAGCCCAGGCAATGCGGGCTCCCCCCAACACCACAGCTAGGAAATGAAGCATCCCTGGCCATAGGGCTGTCCCCTCTCTCCAGCACTGCAGCTGGCTTGGGGGACAGGGGCTGTATCACCCCAGAGGAACCACAGGGAGAACCCAAGGAAGCAGGAGCCCACGTACAAGAGCCTGCGCACAAGTCAGCACTTACAGCCACATCCTTGCCCCTGTTCTTGAACTTCCTCATGCGCTCGCCTTGCTCATTCCCGGTTGGCATTTTGATGTGGGATGTGATCCAGTTTCCAGCCAAAAGCCTCCACCTGCTTTGGGGGATGAGGACAGCAGTGCTGGGTCATGGCCATGCCAGCARCACCCACCTTGGTGCTGGGGACCTGCAGGCCTGGGCGCCAACCTGCCCCCCAGCCCTTTCCCTGCAGCTATAGGGCCAAGGGGGGAGCACTGCAGGCCCCAAGCAGGGCGTCACACACTGCAGGCGGCACCAGAAAGCCCAGACTGCCACTTAATAAAGCCAGGCTATGAAAAAAGTCAGAATTATCCCTATACACACACACCAAGCAGGCTCCTTAGAGGAGGGCACTGACACCACCAAGCACCTCCTCAAACAGGAGACCCTTAAAAACACTSAGCATCTGACCACAGGTGTGATCATCACCTGCCCTCCAGGGTCACTGCACACCTGCACTTCCAGGGAGCCCCCAAGGKTCCCCCCTTTCTTCACCCTGTGAAGGTCAGCCCAGCCTGCAGCCCCTCCAACCATTCCCTAGTGCAGATGGGCAGGAGGCCCCAGCACAGCTGACAGGAGCAGTAGATTCTTACTAATGCAGCCAGGCACCAAGGCCACTTCACCAGCTCACAGAAGCAGCACAAGCCACCCCTTGACTCAAGGCAAGTTTCTTTCTCCAAGACACTAATCCCTCAAGGAATGCTCAAGCACCCCCTCCTTTCCAAGGGCTTCTCCCTCTTTCAAGGCTCCTCCAGCAGGACACCTCCCAGCACATCACCATAACCCCCTGAAACACCTTCCAGGGACCTTCTCCCAACMCCCTCTTGGCAGGGAAGAGCCACCACCCTCCAGGTCATACTAGCCCTGCGCAAGCCAAAGACCAGACACAGAGCCCAGGCTACATCCAAGAACCTGCCCCTCACAGGAAGGCCCAATAWCCCCAGGACACCAGCAACCCCAACAACCTAACCCCAGAGAAAAAGCCACTCACCTCAACCCTCTCTAGAGCCCCCTGCTCCACCTGGCCCTTTTATCTCCCCACCCATGGGTCTCTCTGCCCAATTGGCTACTCCCCCACCAGCATCTCCCATTTGATTTTCATGGAAGCACCTGGGTGCTCCTTAACGAGGAGCAGCAGAGCCTGCCTTTCCCTCCATCCCACCCTGCTCTCACCTGTCCTGTGTCTCCCCGATACCCTTCAATGACTTGGACTCATTTTGCAGCTGATCCCCTCTTTAACAGGAGCAATATTGGCAAAGTGGCTGGGGAAAACGCCTCTAAAAATATTGAATTAAAAGCTGTTTTGTGTTCTTATCATTTTTTCCTAGGAGAGGGAGTGCAGGAAGGGCAGTAATGCATGGGGTGGCCAGGACTTGCTGGKGGACGGTGCAATAAGGTTGTTCTGAAGCCCTTGGGAGCACTGGGAACAATCCCAGGGTTTGCACCGGGAGCACAATTTGGGCCTTTACAGCCCGCTAACAGCGACAGCCCTTTGAAAACTAATCATATGAGTTACAGGGAATGACTATTTCACTATTCTGCTATTTCCAGCACGGAAATACTTGTGAAAATACACGGTATTGTACTCACACTGCTTTAAATCATCACCTTGAAGCCCAGAAGGGTCAGGCCAATTCTCCCTTTCAAGGCAATTGAAACAAGTTGTAGAGAGCTTTGCGGGAAAGGTTATTTTAGGTGGGGAGAGAAGATCTTCAGATATATCTGCTGTTTGTGGCCATAAGGAAGTGAGCTGGGCTATTCCTAAGCTCAAGGTGTTTAAGTCTCAGGTGCCATGGGTTGCTTTCTCATGTTCCTTGGCTGCCTGAAGAAGAATTACATTTCAATTGCATCTTAATTCAACCGAATCTGGTGCAAAAGTTACCGTACACCCTCTAATGTTGTTTYCTGAGTGGTTTGTTTCAGTTAATTCCTAATGGGCCAAAGCTAAATCAAAACAAGTCTGGTTCAAGCCGAAGCCRATGGGTCCCTGCAGCCTTTGCCCGTTCTCCTGGGCTGCTCTTTCCAACCTTCCCGTTTCCCCCAATCCAGCAGGTACCGTGAGGGCTCCCCGGGCTCCRTCCCCACCGTGCGAGAGGAGCCTGGAGGGAGCAACCCCATCTCAACCCGTGCCGAGGACACCGGTGGATCCATGTTCGCTGAGCGGGAAGGGGACAAGCGCTGGAGGAAAGAYGCGTTTCGGTTCTCGGCGTAACAAGAGGGTATCACAGCTAATGGGGAGGGAAGGAGATAAAACCTTAATCTCCATGACAGCGTCCCCTGCGCTCAGCCCTGCGCGCTCAGGCTGAAGAGCCGCGCTGTGACAGCCGGGAGCGCCGCGGTGCCGGCGCACGGGTTCACTTGGCAGCCGCTCTCCTCCCCACAGCCCCTGCCGAGTGTCCCCCGGTGACCTCAGCGATTAGTCGGGCTGCGGCTGCTGGCACATTTGGGAACATCGGTTCCAAGCCTTGGGTTAAGCGCTGTTCTCCCCTCCGCTGTTTTTCCACGTCTCGTTAGCAGGGTCGCTGGGCCCTGCTCAGCAAGTGGCCGGGGTCGCTTCTCCGCAGCGGCGCTCGAGGTTGCGTCTCCGTCTGCGAAGGGAAACGGAGCGAGCGCCAGCGCCACGGACACCTCCGCTCCGGCAGCCCTGTCCTCTCACTGGGCTCTAATGGGGTCCATTAAGTTAACACCGCTAATTAATTTTCCTGGTTAGTTGGAGCGATGCAGAGGAACGCCAAGCAGGGCTGAGCCCAGCCGCGCTGCACCAACGGCTCCCAGCAGAGCCCTCGGAGCCCCGTGTCCCGGCTCCGGCGATGCCGGCGGGGAGCCGAGCCCAGGGATGTGCTGCGGATGGGCGGGATGCGGAGGGATGAGCAGCGACGCTCGGGGCTGCTGCACTTGTGCTTTGCTGCAGTGTGAGCCAAGGTGAAACGAGGTGCTCGGTCCCGCTCTGCCCGCGTGAGTCACTGCCGGGGTGGTTAATGCGCTGGGGAGCGCGGACGCTCGAGGCCTCCCGTGTGCTTTAACCCAGGGTGAAGCACGAGGGTGTCTGGTGCAGAACCACCCTCTGTGGAGCCACGTTCGCACCCGGGGACACTGGGTGGACGTGGGTCACCGTGCGAACGGTGGTGGCTTCTCCACCGGGGCTGGTAAATCCACCAAAGGCCTCCAGAGCCTCCTGGGCCACTTGGTGCCTGCCCAGGGCGATTCCCACGTGTGCCAAAGACGGAGCCTGGAGATGCCACATCCTCCTTTCTCGCATCGCAGAGGGAGCCGGTGCCTTGCAGCTCGCACCGCTGCCCCGTGGCCATTCGGCATCGTGCAGCTGGTGACCCCCCACTGCCATTAGATTCATTTCCTCCTATTGTCCCTGTGGCCACCGCGAGTCCGAGTCAGGATCCGAGCTCCGTGGCGTCAGACGCCAAACGAGCACATAACGAGACAGCCCCCGTCCCCTGCAGTCTATTCAACCAGGACACGCTGGAGTTACTGTGATCCCTGTCTTATCGCTGAGCCAGTGGCAAAGCTAAGAGCTGCAGCTGCATTTTCCAAGGCTCGAGCTTGCTGTGGATGTAATGCAGCTGCCCCCCAAGGACCCTGCTTTCCTGCCCCGCTGGGTGCAGTCCCCCTATACACACCTCTGCAGCCAGAGAGGGGATCCTGTCTCAACAGTGGCTTCATTTTCTCCCAAATACCCGGCTATTTGGAAGGTTTACACACATTTGATCATTACCAGCTCTCTGGGGTTTCGCAATTCGCCCTAGGATGTTCCTGCAATCCTAGCTCAAGCTCTCTAGGACTTTTCCCAGGGCTGATAAAATAACCCAGTCCACGTCTGAGGCTTGACTGGGGTTAATCCAGACCAGAAGACTCATCCCTTTGTGTGGTTTTGTTCAAGGCAAAGGGTTAAGTGTCCTTTTCCTGCTAAGAATGGGATTATTCCCTGAGAAATGTAGGTGCTAGAAAGACACATTGATACTATACAGAAGAGATCGATATTTATTGATGAAGAGGCAGGGCAGAGCTGCAAATCCCCGGCGCAGTCAAGACAAGGGCATTGCTGCAAGAGCAGCAGCTCCTGAAAGCCCCTTGGGAGCCTCTTGGCTGCGGGGCGGATGGCACCGGGATGCGGCACAGCCGGCGATCACCCCCTCGGCCCGGCCTGACGGAGCCCAGGGCACCCATGGGAGCCCAGGGCACCCATGGGRGCCCRGGCAGGACAGGAGCAGCCGCGGGCTGTGCGCAGCACTCGCTGAATGCAGCTGCTGGTGCCCGTTGGGAGCCGGTGTAAGCGGATGCCAGCGCAGCCCTGCGGGGCCTGAAACTCCACACTGGGCTGCACGTTAAGGAGCTAATTTTAACTGGGAAGCAGCAGCCTTTGTGCCGGCCACAGAGGGATTAGAGTCACAGTTTCTGAAATTATTTAAAATTGTCACCAGACTTAATCATAGCTCTTTATTAAATCCATTATCCTCTGCTGGGACACTGATTTATTCAGCTGCAGGAACTATAATCACCTACACCCCAAAAATTCTTTTTTATTTTTCTAATGGTGCTCAGCAATAAATGCTGCTTTCATCCCCAAATCTGTAACTGGAGGAAATGGACACAGCTGAGGTGCATTTGGGGTGAGACACAACAGCAGGACAGCGTGTCCTTGGAGTCCCCGAGAAAATGCTGGATCTGGTGTAAATCGTGTCACTGTCCTCTATGGACAGCAGAAAGGCTAAGGTGTTCTCCAAAGGTGTGGAGTTGACTCTAAATCACATGGAAGGAAGAGAAACCCTGTGAAAAAAAACGAGGAAATCTCCATGAATCACAGAGAGTTCAGCCTCTGGCAGCCACTTTACAGCAAGGACTGGCCACAGGGAGGAGGATTCCACAGTCGCTATTCCTGGGACGGCCGGGTGCTGTGGGACCGCTACTCACCTGCCCAGATGTCACTGATTACCGCGTCCAARGACAGCCCTTCAGCAGAAATGAGTGTCTTTGTTCAAACGGGTATTCGGGGCCTGGGTTTGGATGCTGTGCTTCTGAGATGCTGGCAGATGTGCAGCAGGCACCATTYGCCCATATCAGGAGGTGCAGGTAATGTTTGCTACGCCCAGGGTGATCCTAGTCCCTGTTTCAACTGCTCCGCATCAGACATGGGTTTGGGAGGGAACTTTCAGGGCCCCCCAGGAACTGCATCTCATTGTGCGTTATCTTTTCTGCCACTTCTGCCACGGTGGTTCTGTCCATCCCCGACCTCTGTGTCGGACACATTTGAGGAACTAGGGGAAGACAGACAGAAGGTTTGCTAACCATTAGTGCTGCATCTCTGCCAGAGCCCCGGCGAGTCCCCTCTGGTGACTGTTAACACTCTCCGTGCTGGCAGGCGCCGCTAAATCCTGGTGGAGAAGCTGGCTCAGTCCAGTGCACAGCAGCTCGAGCCAGGGCGGAGCGGCTCAGTCGCGCTGCACGCGGCTCCGTGAGCTCAAGTGTTCAAGGGCTGCGCTGGGGATTAAAACCTCCCAATCTTCTCAGCAGTCTGTGCGGGGTCAGCTCGATGCCACATGCCAGAGCTTCCAGGGGGWTCTCCCCTGCCTTTCCTTCACCAAAGGAAAAGAAAAATCTTTGGTTGCTTGATTTGTTCTCACGATTGGTCTCAATAGAGAAGCGCTACATTTGGAAAGAAGAGTACTGAGAAGGCAGGCAGCGATGGAAAGGATTTTAACTTTGTTTTCTCACGTGTGCACTTTYCTGTAGAGCTTTTGATCATGCAACTGCAGGGCCCATCCTGTGCAGAGCCAGTGATTCACCAAACACTTAGTGGTGTTTGAAAGGCATTGGCATCCCCCCAGCAGACCCTCTGTGCCTCGTGGGCAGCAATCTGTCCTTGTCTGGCTAGCGACTGCGCGAGTCCCTGCACGGGATCCCTCCGAGGAGGCAACGCCTCTGCAGCTCTGCACCGGTACTCCCCAAGCAGGCAACAGCTGAGAATAAGGATACAGCTTTTATCCAACATTTAACATCTCTTTTTAAATGACTAATAAATGTGCAGCAGAGTCTCCCAGGCCAATCTTTATAAAAACATGTGATCCTTCAGCAGGGCTTTCCAATCCAGACACCGCTTCTGCTCTAATGACCAGAGCTCATTTCACTGCTGTTACTTAAATGCAATCCTGAAAGACACTGTCTGAAAGAGTCCCTCGTTATTCCAGTGYTTGTCAGAGCAGCAAAAAGGAACTCGGCCTGTCCTGCTCCCTGCTCTCTGCACACTGATAACCTCCTTCTCCGTGGCTGGGAATGGACACGTGGCCCAGGCTCAGCCTGGCAGTCCTGGAAGCCCTGGGAAGAGGAGGCCAGAACCCTTCCTCCACATGGCCTGTGGTTGCTCCTCCTCTAGAAAACATTTTTCAATCTGAAAACCATTCCCACCTCTTGCTCATTTACTTTTACTCTCGCTTTATGAAACCTGTGTCACAGCAGGGGAGCTGGCGACCAAGGAAACACGCTGCTCAGCAGGCAGCCGCCTCCCCGTGGTCCATCGCTCAGGCCCTTCCCAACACCTCTTTCCAAGTGCATCCTCCAGAGCCAGCCACGACAGGCTATCCACAGATATCACAGCCCAATACATCTCCTTCATTTTCTAAGCAGACCTGCAAAAACATCTTTACCAGATAATACAATCGCTCTAATGGGACGTGACTGGATGAAGCAGCCCCAGTCCAGCAGCCTGTCACAGTGGGATTTGCACAGCGCGGTGATGTGCTGGTCAGCATGGAGAACAGCGTGGCCAGGGACCATCCAGGAGACACCACGGCCTGCGCTAGGGAAACTGCAATGACATTTTATTAAAATCATGAGAGGCACCTATGTTACTCAAGAAGCAATTTGAGTTGTAGCTGTTGCAGATCTGTCTCTGGGCTCAGTAAGCTTATATCTATTTAAGGTTTGCCATTTTGACCTGGATCACTTCACAGAGAGATCTGATTGCTCTCTCCGCAGCCCATTTCTCCTGAGCAGGCAAAATGGACGTTTATGCACATTATACTTGGGTGAACAGCTCAGAATCCATTATTTATATGATGCATTTCACMTCCTTCTGTAAGATGTCTGTCTGAGAACTGTTTGCGAACTTCACTCATGCATTTATGGTCTGAAATAATTACTTAGAAAAGGCAAGCAAATATGACTTGTTCTGGATGCATTCCTGGGAAGCTAATCACAACCCGCAATGTTCAAAATTCAAGCTGGCCATGGTTTTTGTGGTATTATTCTGCTCCTGACAGGACATGCTGAGCTCTTAAATAAGGTTTTCAGGGTGAATAGTCAGTTACAAATTCAACACAAATGCTCTAATTTTCACCTCAAAGGGGCTGTTTCTCYGAGTCTTCCTGCTTGGAAACTCCATTTCGAGTGCAGCCTGTCTCTGAATTGACAGTGCTTGATCTTTCTGTTGCAGGCTCCTATTAAACTGAGGGGGAGCAACTTCTTTCAATGTCAGGTCGTGTCCAGGGCCCATTTCCTTGTCTCTCTCTCATTTATCTAAAGCAAATGGCAAGCACCTGGATAAATGAGTTCTYTGCTTTGCTCTGCCTTGTCTTGAAATGAACCCCCTACATTTCTTTTTCTCCATTCATAAAACAGGAGGTGATATTGATCTGTGGCTGCTCACACAGAGCTCGGGGGGCTCACAGGTGGTCTGGAAAATGAAATAAGTACCAGTGGGAGGAATAGTCATAGGATCTGCAGAAAGCACAGAGATCCTTGAGGGCAGAGCACTGCAGAGCAGCCTGAGGGATCCTCAGCCAGGTGGGATTCCCCCGCAGTTTATTTCCTGCCACCTGCAAAAATAAAACACAGTGAATTTTTTTTTTTTCACATTGTGATAGGCATGTTGTCCAAATAATAGGAGACATAAGCATCAATAGTCAGGGAGGGAGACGTGGTCTCTTTTCTCCTGGTGACAAAAGGTGACAAATGCTCTTTAGCAGCAAACAGGAAAGCAGCCTTTGTGCGAGCAGCTGCTGTGGYGGGTAAAGGCACCGTGGCTTCCGCGGCTCAGAGCAGCGCCGCTTCCCTTGGACCTGGGGTCTCTTTTCCCTTCGTCTCCGGACCAACCTGCTSTGGTTTGTTCTGCCCGTCACTCAGCCCATGCCAGACTCACAGGTGACTCCCAAAAGCCCTCTCCTGCTTTCCTCTGCTCTGYGGGTCAGCAAGATAACACAGAATTCAGAGATAAAAATAGCAGCTGCGTTTGGCCTTGTAGCAAAAATCCTGTTTTTCTAGCCTTGTTGGATTCTTTCCATAGCTTCCTATTTCTCCTTCCAGCTTCCACACAATGAAGCCCCCGGACTGTCATGTCCCAGCTTGTACCTCTATGCCTGTTTCCTCCTCCACAACTTCTCCYGGCAGGCTGTCCTTACGCTGCTCATATCCCTAGCCTGTCTTATGCTGCCCTCTATCCCTTGGAATAATCTCCTTTCTGCAAGCAATAAACCTCACTCTTCTTTCCTAGCTTTGGCCCTTTGGACCCCAAAGCTGCCCTGGCTGAAGCCATTTTCCTGCGGCTCTCTGAACCTTGGCAACCCCCTCCCTCCCAAAATACAGCGAACTGAAAGTTGCATGATATTTTATATTTGGGGCTGCTTCTTGGAATTAACCGGACTCAAAATCCACAAGCTCTGCCCCAAATTCACTCAGCAGAGAGTGTCCAGCAGGGCTGAAGGCAAAAAAGAACGGGGCACGGAAGAAACATTTGGAAGATGCAGAAGGGCTGGCTCCTCCTGGCCAAGGGCTTCTGGAGACCCTTGGTCATTTTGCTTTCCCCCACACACCATGAACACCAGTCTATGCTGGCATACAGGACACAAGGAATCTTGCAAGTCTTCATTTCTATGTCTTTTTTTCTGTCCCCACAAACCTAGGGGCAGTCCGTTTTGACCAGCCCCAAATCAAAACCTTTTCCATTGTACACTTCTGCAAGGAATCCAAATATGTTTTTCTGTAGATTATTTTTTAACTACTGAAATTTGAAATTGACAGTGAAAATAGAAAACACTACTGCTGAGGTCTCATTCCTCTATTTCTGTGCACTGCATACTTCTGCCATATGCTGCAAAGAAAGGAGGATTTCTTTAAGCTCTAATAYAGAATCCTAGAAGAGTTTTTTTTATAGATCTGATCTTTGAAAAGATTAAATTTCCTCTCACTGACTTGCAAATTTGCCCCTACAGGCACTGCTGTCTGTCCCCAGTGAACGCTCTGAACCTTTCAGCTACTCTCTGTTTTCCTACAGATATTGCAATCTTGATTAACAGACTATCTTTTATTTTCTCATCTAAGACAAATTTATCCAAATTCACATAGGTAGCATAAGCAAGCTGACTGGGGCTGACATCGAGAGCAGTATGTAATCGAGAGCAGCCCATGTAATACTCCATACTCATTTTGCTKTGGATTTCCTCTTGTGTTCTGATTAGGCCAGACATGTGCAAATGTGAAATTCATTCTGTTAATTTGTGGGGTCTGAATAGCTGTAARTGACACCAGAATCCGGCCCTCCTCCTGTGGTGAAGTTACATGCTTTAGATGATGACAAATCTGTTTCTTCTTTCTTCAGCTGCCTATGAATCTCTGTGTGAACACGTAAAGCCACAATGACTCCCCCGAAAGCTGCACACTTTTCATTCTGCGAATATACTGCAACCATTACTCACCTTCATCAGAACAACAGTATGATTGTCTTGCAATCAAGACCCTAAAATAGCTTTCCAAGGAAGGTGCATTGTTCATTGTTTGCACATGTGCATTGAAGGCTACACTGAGAACCACAGATCCCAGCTCCCAAGGTAAAAAGACCCATCATGTTTCCTGAATAAAGGCCTTTATCATGCAGAAAAAGGAGACAGGAAACATATGGACTGGGTTACACTTTAACGTGGGATTGTCTGCATCCCTCCTACTTTCTACTCATCCCAGATCCTGCATCATACCCAGAAAACATATGTTGAATTTGCTTCTCTGGACACAAAGGGTCAATGCAAGTTTCAAGCTGTTTACTGGCAAGTTGTAACTTTTTCCAGTCTGGCCTGGGGAGCAAAGCCCTGAACAGACCCTCACTCTGCAAGCAGCAGCTTGAAGCACTTCTGCACTCACCCTGGAGCTCTCCTGGCAGAAGGGCCTATATCGGTCCTCCCTGAAGTCCTCTAGCTAAATAAAATGAGAAGTAATGAAGAACTCACTTGATCCCCTTCACCATCCGCTCCATGTGGGCAGAAGACTTCAGCTGGGAGGCAAGGTGAAAAATGGCCAGATGGGACTGCTAGGTAAGTCTGGTGATTCGGTACAGCTGAATGACTTGGTACAGTGAGGTCTGCAAAAAGATAGTATTTGTGAAGAGAAGAAGTCAAATTATTGTTGTGCTTGACAGAAAGCATGAACAGGGAGATACAAGTGCACAAAAAGCCTTTCTCAGAGCTGTTATTGGGGGAAAAAGAACAAACGAACAAAAGAAATCATAGGCAGATTGTTTCACAGGTCACACTTACAGACCATGCACTGGCAACTGTCAGCAGGCTCCAAAGCAGGATGAGTCAGTCTGGAGATGGGTTCCTGAACCTGTCATTGATGTAACTGGAAAAGCGACGGCACCTTTTGCCTCCATTTCAAGAGCTGACAAACAGCTAAAACTTGTCCTAGTGGGAATGTTGTGAAGCTCGGAAGGATGCTCTGAGACCACCACTGAATGGTAATTACCATCTTGCTGCACTCAAAGGATGTCCAAAGGTCCTGCTGCCACCTGCAACTGGATGTGTTTTCCTGCATGTTTCAAATATCCCAGAGAAGTCAGGTCATTTCCCAGAAAGCAGATGASAGAGGCTATCATATCTTCTACCAGATTCTCCCCCAAAAGAACGTGAACTGACCCGTGTATTAATTATCCAAGGGGAAGAAGGATAGCAAGGGATTTTTCCCCAGGCATCTGAGTGAGAAAAGAAAGCTGTCTACTTTTATCTTGATCAATGTATGAGGAGGCCTCACCTGATTTGGCAGGGCTGCCACTAAGGGAAAAACAATCATTTTCAACTGAACTGTTGAGTTGCTACATGTCAATTGCTTCCATCTCCTCAACACAGGAAAGACACCCAGGACAAGTTCTTCAATACCCTGGAAAAGGTCTGGGTGTTCCATCCCACTTCCTTTGACAGGGCTGCTATGTCAAAAACTTCCTGGTAGCCTGAGAAACTCATCCTGCAAAAGACTTATTTCTTCAGTAATGCACTCGGTTGTTCAGGAATTGAAATCCAAAAGAACTCAGAGTCTTGAGTCACAAAGCTCATGTTACTTCTTGAGCGTACTGATGGCAGTCACCGTAACCACCACTTGCTCTGTTTCTTGTTGCAGAAATTTTGCTTCTTTTGCCCAATCCTAATAACTACGAGTGTGCGGGACAAGTGTCATCTCAGTGGACAACATGGATGAGGAGGAAGAGCTGCTTCTCACTGATATAAATGTAGTGAAACATCAGTGAGCCTGGAAGTATGGCAAACAGGATGCTGTCCCCTAGACCAAATTCTCCCTGGAAATAAAGTTCAGCTTCTTCACCCTGAAGATCATTGGCTTACTGGAAGAGCAGCAGGGCAGAACCTAAGGATTTGTTCCATTCTCTATGAGTTGGATCTTTAATGTAAAAGACTGCTCTAGCAAAAAAATGAGCCGGATATAGGAGTTTCTGGTTAACATTCAATGGCCTGGGGTTTACAGGACTTCAAACGAGTTGGTTTATAGTGGTTGTTTGAAGCCTGAAAACCAACGGATCTAAAAGCTACGTCAGAGACCATGACTTAAACTGCTCCTCTCGCACACGTATCTAATCTCAAGCAGTCTTGCTCTTGTGTAAGAGCAAGGCTTGACCTTTTGTTTGGTTTTGACACRCATTTTTCTCTTTAACATCATTTTGAAGTGTATCTGTTACTGAAAAGAGCTTATTGGGAGTATCTGCTGACTCCTGAAACCATTATTACAAGCAGAATTTGAGCTATAGAGATCAAACGGCTTCCAGCTGCTGAACTTACAGTGCCCTTTCTAGCAATGGATGGTATTTTACAGCTTCCAGGATTTGTGCATTGCAAACAAGCCTTTTGCACAAAGCACCTATGCTTTTCATAGCCATTAAGATAGCGGGTCCCAAGTCATGGCTCATGAGTAACTTGTTTGCAGAGTTCTCCAGCAAGCTCTGAGTCATGTGCTCTCCTTCCCCAGGCAAACGGGTAGAGCAAAGCACGACGTGGCCAGCAGAATCCAACTTCCTCTGTACCCGAGACAGGGAACAACTGCTGTAAGAGGATCTTTGCTGCTCATATCCTGCAGATTTTAGAAAGGAGGGTGACGAGTCAAAGGAGCTGATGATCACAGCTGATATGTTGCASTTTCGTCATGGTGCCACAGAGTCAGTTAGAACAATTGCTGTCAAAGCACAAGGTCCTTTGCTAGTATAAATCAGTATATAAAAGCACAGCAGAGTGCTGGTTCACAGCAACTTTAAGCTGCTTTGTTCCGTTTTTGTCCAAAGGGGCCTGACTGGTGAAGTTTCAATGGGTTGGAAAATTATTTTTAATGTTTAGCAATATGGGTYGGCTTCCAGTTTATAGTGGAGATTAGTAATTCTCTTGTGTGGGTCTGTGGCCCTTCCGCCGGGTGGCCTTTGATGTCTTAGGCTTCAGTCCAGAAGAGATAATCATCATTTACAAGCTGACTAGGGGTATTGTGCACTTTGGCAACAGGATGGTTAAGCAGAAGCCAGGAGAGGAGCAAGCAGGTATAGACACTGCGTAGGGGTAGGCTGAGATCTCTTATTTGGAGAAAGGAAACCAGCACAAAGGCAGCATGTTAAGACCTCAGCCAGTTTGTTCATACTGGAAAAGCTGCTAAAACCAGACCATGTTTCCAAGGAGATCCAAAATGACCTTACACAACAGGCTGATTTTTTAAAAAATGRACAGATGTGTTATCAAGAGTCAGAGCTGGTGTTCACAGCTGCCACAGGACAGCAGGCCTGGCCAGATGGCTGAGCTGCAGCTATGGGCTTGATTCTCCTTTGCTGAACTGCCCTGTTTGCGGGTGTTTCGGAGGCATGGCGGAACAGACAGACACATTTACCTCCTGGAGCAAAGAGCCTGAATCCAGACTTACCACTTGTTTGAGCTGTGCATTACAACCTGTGCTCCAAAAGCTGCGTTGAACGGTATGYACGCGAAGGGACAGAGTTGAGACCTTTCCATCCCTCCCATGGGTTTCCCAGCAGGGCTGGAGAGCTTGTCCAGAAAGCAGAGCCTGTAACCAAAAACCTATAACCAAGACTTCATTCAAATCTGCCCTCTGTGACAATCACCCAGGCAAATCACCCAATTTCCTCAAGCCTCAAAGACAAAAGGGCAAAAATCCATTCAAGCTGGCGCATTAAACCATCACAGCAAGTATTTGATGTTTGTATCTCTAAGGCAGCCTGAACGYACCCTTACCTGGGTCAGACATGAGGCCAAGACATAGAGCTCAAATTCTCTGCACACGTGGACCTCGTCAAACTTTCAAAGGTTTTAACATACAACAGAATACAGGAAAGTATTTTGCTGGTTCAAATTAACGTGGCTCTGTTGCCTTAAGGAAGTTCCGCAACCCAAGTCTGGCCCTGCTGCACAGAAATGGGCCTCTCAACTCCTTGCAGTAACAATTAATTGAAAGCATTGATTGTGCAAATGTCTGAGCAGTGACACAACAGTTGGGCATTTTAATATTCAAAGAATAGCCAAGTAGCTTCAGGACTCTCCAGCATGTTGCCACTAGCCTTGATTAAAAAGACAATCCTTAGGGATATTCTGGAAAGGAACAAAAGCCTCAAAACTGAAGCCAGGGCTCGTTTCTAGGAGCACACCACCACAGGAAAGCTATGCAAAAGGCACATCAGCCAAAATATTAAGTTCATTTTTGCTTCTGTTGCTTACGTGCTGCCAGAAGAGCCAGAGTGCTGCAGTCTGCTGCAGCCTGCAGAATCTCTCCTGGTGTATGTGACTTGCCTCTGCCGTGCTGTCAAGCAGCCATGCTAATGTTCAGCAGCAGGCAGTATTTAAGCATATTACCAAATTCCACCAATTCCACTGCACAAATGTACAGACAAAGCATGATCAGAGCATGAATCATAGCCCTTTGCTCTATCTTTTTTACAGTTGGCAACTATATCCTTTCTTTGATATCAAGCAGGTTCCCAAAAGTGACATTTCACTGTGCCCAGCCTGTACTGACTGTGCTTGGTTATACCAGTCTATAGGCCACATTGACTCTCTATCAGTTTTATCAAAGAGCCTAAAGGGTAAATGTACAACCTCTTTGCAACAGCTTTTCCTTTGCCAATCCTTTACTCACRGCACACATGCTTCCCATGGTAAAGGCCCCACTTGAGTCCAAAGAATTTGGTGAATACAGTATCACAGGGTGGCTGGAGAAGAACAAGGATTCCCCTAAGGAAACAGCACTGGTCTTGTTCCAGAAATCCAGCCTGCCCCTGCTCTGCATCTTCTTTAAAGAGAATGCAGCCCTGGGTAGGGTGAATGTTACACTATACAACCACTACTGCCAGTGCAGTATGTCAGCAAGCACACATCCTCGGTTCTAGTCCCCAAGCACTTCCCCATCACTCTATTCTGGAGAGGATTAAGCCCGTCATTGTAGTGCTCTCCTTACCCAGGCAACACTCGGTGTCTGCCTCTGCACGTGTCCCTTCCCTGAAAGACACTTGAGCCCTGTCCTTGAAAACTCTGCCCCTCCAGCACCGAAGAAACGCTCGCACAGACGGAAGCCCGAGCGCGGTGCCGCCTTCGTGACAAGCCACACAATCCCCTCCTGGCAGTCCGCGGCCTTCTGCTGCCCAGGCAAATGTCAGCTTTCTATCAACCAGAAAAACTTGCTGCCTATTAGGGCTGTCATGGACCAAGCTCAGGGCTATGCAGTTAAAAGGTGAATGGGAATCAGTCTAGGAATCTGATTTTCAGATTTCAAGCTATCAGACAGACTGGGTCAGATCTTATTTTTACTTCCTGCCTGTGCTGCTTCACCTCATCCTATGCTAAACTGGCACAGCAGTACCCATGCTGCGGAGAGGAGACTGAGCCATGTTGGCATACACATTTATTTGCAACCTATAGTTACAAATGTAGCTCCTTTGCCAAGAATTAGGCTCATTTCTGCTTTGAGGATTTATTTACAGTAGTAAATAACAAAGATACAATCACTAAACAGGGCAAGAATGCAGTAAATAATGTGTGTTTTTAGTAGATTATCCAGAGAACACTGTAGTTATGACAGATTTGTATTGCAAGCTATACTATACTACCTTAGTATGATCCCTCTTTGAGAGCCTCTCYCCTGCATTCTGTGCAATAATATTGATTTTAGCTGGTGGCCACAAGATGCAGAAAGGAGGATCTTCTTTCATGACCGTCTGGGTAAACAATCATCCATCCCTCTAAATTTAAACTGCCATCAATGCTTTTGTATTCCAGGAGCAGCTCTCAATCTCCTTAACATATCGCCACATATCGCCAGTCCTGTCTGAGGTTKGGTAATGCTGTTACTCTGATTTTTTCTCAGTGCAGAACTGAGAGAAGGGTCAGCTACAGCACCCATAGCATCTAGCATCAGCAACGTAACTTTAA